GTGTTGGGGGGGATTGTGTTGTATTTGAGCTACATTAGCCCTGCAATGGGCTGGCCCATCCAGTAGGAGAGCAGTTGTGCCTTATCAGACCCGCCTGTTCTTCGGGGATAAGCTCTGGTTTTCTCCAGTCAGGGTAAGTGGCATTTTCATTATAGATTATATCAATGCCACTAGACAGCCATTAAAGCATCTTCTAACCCTTCCCCAATCCAACCCCTCTTCAAGTTATTGCACCCAAGGCAACAGTTTCTATATTTACAGACCCCACCAGACAAAAGTGTGGCCTACTGCATCCCTCAATCACTCCATTACTCTTTTTGCATGACTGTTTTGGGACATCTGTCTGTTCTCTACACCGTTCTCCATCTAGAAAACAGGCATCTTAAATTTTAGATGTTTTTTTCCAGTACATACAGGAACCAAAAAGGTGTTCTCACTGTACCTGAGCTGGACACGTATTTCTGAGGAGCACGGAAATGAACCCACACCAAGAAGGTTTCTGGATTCTACACGAGAAGGAAAAGAAGTGTATAAGCTTTAGATTTCCCCTCCCCCCCACTTCCCCAGGATCCTCCCCCAACATGACTTACACCATGCAAAAAAAAAAAAAATGAGGGCATTGCTAACTCCCTAAAAAGCAATTTTGGACAGACTGGCTATTAACAGCTTGTGAACAGCGCTCAGATCGCGCTGCATGAAACCGAGACTTTCAACCCCAGCAGAGCGCCCCTCCGCATCGCGGGTGTGGAGTGGACGTGCCAGTTCAGCTCTCAGTCACTGAGTCGCGCCAAGGCAGAGACGGCGCTGGCGTCGCGTACCTCCCCGTAGTTGGCGTGCATCACATGGCTCATGACAGACGGCGCGGCCAGCGGGGAGACGCTCCCAGCCTGCAGCACTCCTTCCGCCTGCGCGGCGACGGGGCTTTTGGAGAAAGTGAAGCAGCGCCAGGCTGTGGCATTCTAGAGCAAAGAATAAAGGAGGTGCCGTTTCTCTTCAGAAATTCACGATTGTCCTCGGAAGGGGGTGCTTCCACCCAAACAAGATGCAGGAACTACATAAAAGGGTCAACCAAATCTCCCCCCCCCCCCCCCCCCCAACCTCTCTCTCATACAAATAAAAGAAAATGCACAAACTTCCACCACATGACAATTTCCTCACTTTTTGCGAATTTTCAAACGGCTCCACACACACACACACTGGTGTGGCTCTGTTACCGATTTTCTAAAATGTATTTTCATTTTTTTTAAGTTAAAAAGGCAAGCTCAAGTAAAAAGAAATAAGAACTCCAACAACTAAACCTCACCAACGTTTCTTTCGACCTTTGTATACCCATTTTACATTGTCAATAATAAGTAGCAAAGATGGAGAAGACTAAAATTGTGATGCTTTGATTGTTATTGCCAGTAATATAAGACACCACTTTGTAAAGGAATTAGGTTTTCTGACAGTATAACCGAAAATATGAATATACACATCCATCCTGATGTGACACTCAACACGCCACATCCAAACAGCGCCTCAGCTAGTATCCGATGACAGAGGATCACCCGTGGCTGCTGAACAGGTAGAGCACCTGATCGGCTCTTCCTCTCAGCCTCTGCAGGAAGCAAAGCTGAAAGGCGAGGAAGCCGCCTCACTCACTGTGCTGATCACCAGTCGAACGGGCACGGTGGCGTGGGTCCGGTTGATGAGTTTCAGGGGCAGGGCTTTCACACTGCCACTTGTGAGGTCGCCAAAATCCAGAACACCCGCTGGCCCCACGTCCACCTATGTTTGAGCAGAAAAGACACATTTTACAACAAAGGGCTGAAGCAAAGAAATGAACCTTTAAAACGGAGAGGCCAGAAATTAAGCACGACCTGAAAAGAAATGCATTGCTTACTAAAGCTCGACTTGGGTCAGACCAAAGACTGAGCTTCACTAAAGTCATGAAAACCAGTTTACTCAAAAATCAGACGGGCCATTAAGATTAAATCTATGATTTGAGCTCCTGACTGCGTGAGGCGGTAAGTCAATTTCGTTCTCTACATGGGAACTGCGTACTTCAATCCAGAGCTCCCAGTATGTTACTGTGCTGCCATTTAACCTTGCGCAATACTGACTAGTCAATACGCCAGCTTTTTTGGAGAATGATCAACCAAGAGCAAGAAATGAGGTGGTGCCACAACGTTGCGAGCAAGGGCCACGAAGAAACGAACAACGAAAAACAAGCAAATTTTAAAAGAACACAGAACACATAGGCACAGCACAAAAGGAGCTTTTCACTCCACGTTCTGCAGTCGGCATAAGAGCCAGCATGACTCCATATACGTGCCTCTAATAAGGGGGTCTCCGCCATGGCCATCAGGACCACTTTCTGTGCGAAGGCTTCTGCCTGCGCCACGGTGCCGGACTCCGCGGAGACGGGCCAGGAGGACACGCTGAGAACGCAATGGTAGACGCCGGCCTGGAGGGGGATGAACAGCACCTTCTGCTCCTCGCTCGTTCTGGGTCCAATGATGGTTTTGTTTTTCACGATCAGCAACTGATAAGGCAAGGACTCCACCTGCGGCAGATGCACACGGTAGAGGGGAACACATTCACAGACGGGAAGTCCTTTTGGAAATGATTATTTTCAGATGACGACGACACACGCCAATCATATTTTAAGTTTCTTTAACATTGAAACTTTACTACATTTTAAACAAGATCTACATTTATAAAGGTGACAGACTAAATCATATTTAACATTTTTTGGTGCGTTTGTTCTTAGGGCAACAGAACACACTCGTATCCATGATCACATTCGCAGAGTGAATCGATATGCTGGGAAAATCTCTGCAAGGGCCAAACACGAATGTTGTGCAAACACCAAGAAAGATGCAAGCCCCTCTGGAAATTTAAAATCTTCCATCCTCATAAACGGACCTTCTCCCCATCGATAGACAGGCTGGTGGGGGCCATGTTGACCTGCAGCCAGCGCTCAGTTGGGTTGAAGATGCTCAGAGAGGTCTGCGATGCAATTCCAACACAGCAGGCATGGGGAAATTTGAGCTCTTCTGGCACAACAACACGTGCTGAGGAAATAAAAATAAATAAAAAAAACACACTGACATGAACTTTTGGAAGAGCGTGCTTTGTTGTTGTGTTATCCCAGCATTTCCGTTTTTAAAAACGTCATGTACCAAAAAAAAAGTTTGCAGTGTAGAATCCAATACTTAAGCAAGAAAAAAGGTGCTCTAGAATGCACAAAAAATAAAATTATGTAAAACAAAAAATTTATGGAAGGGTCTATCAAGACAAGCCATTATCCTATTCATACTAAGTGTAAATGTACCAACAGGCTATATCGGTACTTAAAGGCACTGCACAAAAAGGCACTTAAAAGGTTTTTCTTGAACTCAGGTCTGAATAAATCCTGTAATCAGCAGTGTTTAAATGGAAAAAATGCACTCAATAAGAGTAGAGCAGAACTTCTGCTTGGGTAGAAGTTTCCGTTGAACCCAGAGGTCAGGGCTTTTATTCTCAAATCTGCCAGAAGGAAGAGAGAAAAGCACATTCCCAGGGTGGTTCTGATCCTCGGTTATATTATTGTTCTGAGGCAGCGTGTGGGGAAAATGGTCTGGATAGAGGGAAGTTCTGTGCCAGTGATGACCCTGGCTGTCTCCACCACCTTCTGCATGAGCTGAGCAATTGCCATACCCAACTGTAATGCAGCCAGCGAGAATGCTTTCTATAGCGCATCTGTGGAAATGCGTTTGTGAATATGTATCAAATCTCCCGAGTCTCCTGAAGAAGTACAGGCTCTGGTGTGCTCTCCTGATATCTTTGCCTATTTGATGGGACCAGGTAAGGGTTTTGGGGATATGAATGCCCAGGAACTCGAAGCTGCTGATTATCTCCACAGCAGCCCCCTCGATATATAGACAGGGGGCATGGTCCTCATGGCACCATACCACTAAGTCCTTGACCTCTTTCCTGTACTCGATGTATAGTTGTGATCAAATCTACAATGGTGGTGCCGTCAGCGAACTTAAAGACTGAGTCGGAGCTGTGTCTAGCCACACAATCATGGGTAAACAGGGAGTAGAGCAGGGGACTAAGGAGGCTCCTGTGTTGAGGATCAGAGTGGAGAACAGGCAACAACACTTCCTCACAGATTGAGGTCTGCCCGTCAGGAAGTCCAGGCTCCAGTTACAGAGAGGAGTACTAAGGGCCAGGTCCAAGAGCTTGACCTCATATTGGCATCCGTGCAACAGCATGTGGAAATGATGGCCAAAGTATGCACTGTACTAAATATATATTAACTAGGATTCAACTTTTCACCCCAACAGACAAGTCTAAAATACAACCACTCATTAGCTAAACTGAGGAATAAGCACAGACCACTGTATGACATCCACACGTATCGGACAACCTACCTTGGACATCCGCAAGCCCTCCTCCAGCCCACAGGTCCAGCGCTCCCAGGTCATTGTGGGAGGTGTACGGTTTGGCGGCACTGATCAGGGGTGGCTCCAGAGAGGAAGGAGTCCTGTAAAGCTGGACTGGATTCAGGAGATGAGTGGAGACTTGAACACCGAGGGGCCCTGAACCCTGGACGTGCCCCACTGGGTTGCTGGTGCCAGCCAGGCTGGGAGGAACCCCATACAGCCCAGCGGCTGGTCCCACGTGGTAGAGATGCAGAGGGATATCAGTTCCCAGGTACTGCTGGGCAATCTGAGAAGTGAACAGGGAGCGGCCAGTAAGGAGAGTGGGGACCGCGGGAGGGAGATCCTGCACAGACCCCTGAGGCTTGAAGCTGGAGATGGGAACGTATCTCTGGTCCTCTGAGCCGAAATGACGATGGCTCCCAGCAAAGACGCTGGCGGGGGCTGGGTCTCCGGCGTGCTTCCACTGCTGGGAACTCTGGTCAGCGCTGAGCTGCGGCTGGATGCTGGCGGCGGTGGAATAACCCGAATCCGTCTGCGCGGCGCGGGAGGCAGCGGGCTCGGAGCGCCGCGTCTGGCTCCCCGG